TCCAGTGCACACAAAGCAAGCTAAAGCTATGTACATGTCCGAGAAACCTCAACCCATCGACTTCTACAAAGCGGAGGCCTCCGCTTCCGCTGCCGCCGATCACCACCATCACCACCACCACCACCAGAGCCGCGAAATAATCATGGAAGTCGCCGCCGCTAATGCACCGCTCCCACCTCACCACCGCCAGCCACTTCTCCTGCCTGGGGGTGGTAACGGCGGCGACGCCAATAGTAGCGGCGGGGAGGACAACACCGCCATCAACCCCTCACCCGACTTGAGGGCTCCTAAGAAACGGGCGGAGACATGGGTTCAAGAGGAGACGCTGGCACTGATCAGTCTCCGGAGAGAAATTGACTGTCTCTTCAACACCTCTAAATCTAACAAGCACCTTTGGGATCGAATCTCCATGAAGATGAGGGAGAAGGGTTTCGATCGTTCGCCCACCATGTGCACTGATAAGTGGAGGAACTTGCTCAAAGAATTCAAGAAGGCTAAGCAGAACCAGGATAGAAATGGGTCTGCTAAGATGTCTTACTACAAAGAGATTGAGGATATTCTCAACGAGAGAAACAAGAATGGCAGTGGTGGACACAAGAGCCCTTCTGCTCCCAAAGTTGATTCCTTTATGCATTTCTCCGAAAAGGGTATACTTATACTGTTGTTGGTTTTTACTCGTTACTGCTGTTTTTCCCTATGTTTGATGATATATTTGATTAGCCAGTGTTTAAAAAAAGCATTTGCTTTTAAATTAGCTTGATTGGATATGCTAGAAATGAATATTGAAGTAAGTAGTTTAGTTAATTGAACTCGAGCGCCATACATTTCTGATGTCCTTAGATGAGAGTATGTGGCATTAGTATGTATCTTAGACTAGGATCAATGTGCTTAAGCCTTAACCCACATGAAAAAGCATGATGAGCTTTCAGTTGTGTTCAATTTCAGTTTTCAGTGTTGTTTGGCTGTAGAGGTTGCTGCTTCATTTCACAAGAAATTGGGGAATTAGAGGGTTTGCCTATGTTCGTGGCATTTTATAGATGCCATTTGCTTAAATTTGGGTGATTGTATGACTTTAAGTACTGGAATCTTGATTTTTAATACACAGTGGATAAACTTTGAAGGTTGAGTTAATTGAGGTAAAGTGTTCTTAAGCTACTAAGTATTAGACCAGAAACATTAATGATATGGCATTTCTGGTGTTCCTGTTTGATGAAACTGTTTGGTGAAGTGGTGGAAAGTGATATAGATTTGTTCTCTTTATTGAGTTTTCATAAATATTAGTGATGTGATGTTGTCATTCCCACACAAATACACTGTAAAGGTTTTCTTTAACTGGCATCTAACTTTGACTCATGCTCTCTCACCAAAGAAGAAAATGCACTCGCTACCTAAATCTCTTAATCTTAGTACTTCTTAATTGCCTCCTGCTGGTTCTGCAATAGATTATTCTATTCTTCTGTGCACCCTCCTTGTGCCTGTAGTTCCTAGTGTCAGAAGAACATTGATTTACATTACATTTTCACCAAAAAGTATTACTCGTCTCATGTGAGATAGCCTCACTCAAGACCAACTAATGTTAATATTATATTTGGTGCCTCCGAGGCACAGCTCAATTGGTCAACCAACTCAAAATAAGTTCATAAGCTTTGCTTTGTTAGCAGTCATAGAGTGGAAGGTTCGAATCCTATCAAGGACCAAAAAAAGGGAGAGTATGGATTTGGCCTTGTTGTGGGCACTAGTGTACAAACATTTGGGGGCTTGTAGGTAGTAGGCCATTTGAGGCACATCCCGCGATTTACTCCTCCACTAGTCTCCAGGGCAAGAGTGGTGAGGGACCCTTAAGTTTGGGGTTCAAACTTTAAAAAACATTGATTTTTGTTTGGTCTGGATGTGAGTAAATCTAGAAAAGTGATTACCATTGCAATCTTTTTCTGGAAACCAATTTTTGTGTTAAAAATTTCTTAAAGATTTCTCTTTTTTATCCTGGTTTTTAAATAAAGTAACTATACAGTTTTTCACACTCATGCAGGCCTTGATGATACCAATATTACATTTGGGCCAGTTGAAGGTATGTTGACTTGCTTGCAAGCATGTTTAACTGTGTGTTTTAAGTTCTCTCTCCCTCTCAACCTCATATGTATTTTAATATAAGAAAGTGTTGAATAAATTTCATATGTATGGATGCTCAATGTTTTCTTCACCAGCCTGAACTGGCTGCTTTGGTTGCTATCACTTTTTAAACTTGGAACTGGTCATCAAAATGCCATTCTTTCCTTCCTGGCTAAACTTCTCCACACATGAAAAAGGTAATTTGACCGGTTTAATTACTGGTTAAGTTTTAAAACACTGGGCCTTACAATGTGATATATGACCTAAAATCTTCTGTCGCTTTCTCAGTGTTTGTGATGCTTCACTTGCTTGGATCAGATATGTTGTTCAATGCCCTTTTTTTGTTAAATTTCTGTCTTCAATTGTAATTTGTGAATTGCAATGTAATGACGGAACTTACGTTTTCAAATTCGTTTTCGTACAGATAGTGGCAGGCCAACTCTCAACCTTGAGCGGCGGTTAGATCATGATGGGCATCCTCTTGCCATTACCGCTGCTGATGCTGTCACCGCAAGTGGAGTGTCACCTTGGAATTGGAGGGGGACTCCTGGAAATGGTTGGGCCTTTAATTTAATTTGGAAGCTGTCATGCTCCTTTTCTATCTAAAAAATTTCACTTATCAGGCCAAAATATGGTGTAGAAACTATTCAACAATTATCTGGTGACGTAAAATTTTATGCTGCTATTTGGTAGCTTTGCAACTAAACCATAATTTCTCTTGTTTTTTCCTTTGGAGTTGAGGAGAGCGTGAGGGATTGAGGAGGATTTCCTGTCCATTTCTCCTAGTAGTCCCTTTTGTTTTGCTAAAATAGATATAACGGTGCTTTGTTTAACAAGTTAGTCAATCCTGTTCAGCAGTTCAATAAAACCTTGTAGCTTTTATAAATGTATGCTACCTTACTGTGTACCATGTCCTTCCTTTATTTTTTTTTTTGGATGACGAGGGAAACCTCACAACCCTTTCAGGTGTAGGTAAACCCCGCCTTGTGACCCTAGCCGGCAAAGGACCACAAGGAAGTAAACCAGCCTAGGTTACCATAGCTGACCGGCTCAAACCAAGGGGACAAGGATTCAAACTCATGACCTTGTGGTTACAAGTATGGATGTCTTGCCATCTTGGTTGGGGTTACCCCCTCCTTTCTTTCTTCTATGATCATGATATAGGGGGTGTTTGGTAAATGGTTGTTAGCTGATAGCTGTTAGCTGATTGGGTTAGTGGGTTTAACTTGTTGATAGCATTAGCTGATTGTAGAAAAGTGTTTGGTAAATTAGTTGTTAGCTATTAGCTGATTACATACAAAATGACTTTCTAAAAAAGTTGATCGAAAAAGCTACTTGGAGTAACTTTTTGAATTTTAGCATTTTGGAGCAATAAATTGTTACAGAAAATTAATTAATCAAACACTCATATTTGATTGTTTAACCAAGTCAAACAGCTAATAGTGGTTAAATAAGCCAAAATTGGCTGATAGGCTAACTATTTTACCAAACAGGGCCATAGTGTTTTTTTTTACCAATTTTTTCTTTTGAAAGTGGTAGTTAATTATTTTTACCACCAAATGACTAAACTATTTTACTTGTTAAGGCATTAAAGCACGTATGTTGAATATGTAGTTTCTAGTTTTATGCTTCTATTTGAAATTCTCTTACTTTTGCCCCCTGCAGGTGATCAGGGCAACGTCTTTGAGGGCAGAGTAATTTCAGTCAGGTGGGGGGATTACACAAAGAGGTTTGGTATTGATGGCAGTCCAGAGGCTATTAAAGAAGCAATTAAATCTACTTTTGGATTGAGGACAAAGCGCGCTTTCTGGCTGGAAGATGAAGACAACGTTGTTCGAGCACTTGATCGGGATATGCCTTTGGGGAACTACACTTTGCATGTTGATGAAGGTAATGTAGTAGAATTCAAATACATGGGCATGTTATCCATGTCGACACCCACACCCGCACCCTCCTCTCAGAGATTACAAACTACAAGGGGGGGTTACCCCCCAGTCTAGATGGCAAGAGATCCACACTTGTAACTACAAGGTCACAAGTTCGAATCCTTGCCCCCTTGGTTTGAGCCGGTCAGCTATGGGTAACCTAGGCTGGTTTACTTCCTTGTGGTCCTTTGCCGGCTAGGATCACAAGGTGAGGTTTACCTACACTCGAAAGGGTTGTGGGGTTTTCCTCGTCATCCAAAAAAAAAAAAAAAAAACTACAAAGGGGGAAAACAAAATGGAAACTAATAGGCAGACGGTTTTGGTTATTGTTGTAATAATAGGAAAGCGTATCCTTAATGAGGATAAGAATGGGTTTTGCTGGTATTACTATAGATTCTAAGGAATCCTGTTACCGATATTTTCTCCCTCCCCTACTCCAGTTTGCTTTAGAAACGAAATTTGGTTCATATTTGTTGTAGGTCTGACTGTAAAAATATGTCTGTATGAGGAGGCAGAAGATGTGGCATTTCCTCCTAGTGAGGAAAAGACTTTCTACAGCGAGGACGACTTCCGTGACTTCTTGTCTCGCCGTGGGTGGACGTGTTTACGAGACAATTACCGAAACATTGACAGCATGGACGAGCTTTGCCCTGGTGCCATATACCGCGGTGTGCGTTAATGGTGCCGCTCTTTGGAGATGAATGGAATTTTGAGTGTTGAAGAAAGATGATGTTTTTTTAACTGTGTATTTAGGTTTGGGTATTGGCAATTGGCAGGCATGTTGTTGCTGGCTGGTAGCAAGTTCAGTTTCAAACTCCCCCTAATGCTGTCTGTATGTATATATAAATATACACACACATAGACATAGTGTCAACTTTAATATTTTGGATATATGTAAAGTTTGTTTGTGCCCTAAATGGCTAAATGTGAATAGCCTGCAATCTTAGGCTCCGTTTGGAAATCCAGAAAATAACTTCTGAAAATGTTTTTCGGATAATGAGTCATTTTTGCAAAAAATATTTTAATTTTCGATTTTGGCTACACAACGGAAAATTGTCTTTGTGTGTTTGGTTCATTTTCCAAAAAATGAGTATGAAAGTGGTAAGAATTGTATACTTCAACATTTTAATTATTTGATATTTTTAATAAAATCTTTTTGTAAATAGCACTCATTAAGTTTTGTGGACAATTTTGAATGTCTATATATATATATATATATATATATATATATATATATATATATATATATATATATATATATATATATCACACACAAAAACAATACATTGAAAAATGACTTCCCCCCACCCCCAAAAAAAGGGAATTCATTTTTTCCCAAAACATACTTATTTTTCATTGACTACAACATCATTTTCTGTTGACCTCATTTTCCTCCTCCTTTCCAAATACTGAAAACCCTTCAGAAGTCATTTTTCAAGTTTCCAAACGCACACTTAATATTCATCTAATTAAGACCCCTATGCCCTATGGGCATTTAGGGATGATATTATTCTAGTTTTTTGGCATGCAGCATTACAAGGATGAGAAGAGAGAATTTTGGTAGGAATGTAGGATACCCGATACCACACCAAATAGATTTAGATAGGAATAATGTAAATATTGGTAAAAAAAAAAAAAAAAAAACTGTTTAAGAGCATCATCATCAATTGTCCTTTTTTGTGTGTGTGTGTGTTTTAGCAGGCCATGTATTATGAAGAGATGGAGAGAAAAATAAGGGAAAAAAGAAAAGTTAAAAATTATCATTTTTTGGCAGGCTAGTTAACCGGGAAAGAGGGAGAGAAAAATAAACAGAAAAAGAAAATGAAAATAATTAAAAGTATTCAATATTACGTGAGTAGTACACAGTAAGACTCACAAAAAATAATCTTTCCTGCAATAATTTTTCTCTTTTCTTCAACTCACACACTCTCATCCAAAAAATAAAAATAAAAATAAAAATAAAAATTGAAACCCCCTCTTGGATTGCTCTAAGTTGCAATGAGTGATTAGTGGTCATAATTTTAAAAGTATTTAACGAATAATATTATTTACAACGGCTGCTTAACAACTCGGATTTGTGGCACAATAGTAGTGTGTTTGACTCCAAATTAGAAGGTTGTGTGTTTGATTCATGTTGGGTTCAAATTCTCAAGTTTTCTTTTTGGTTGTTTTCATTTTTGTGAAAGAAAGCTTATGTGGAATTGGATGTTACGAAGTACAACTGAGCTGAAGGAAGATGTGGTTTGAAGAGAGGCGGCTGTCTACATTCAGTGTATTGGATTGACTTTGTATTTGAGACATTATATAACTTCTTATCATAGTCTTTTTATGATTTCTCTTGTATATATACCTCCAATATGTATAATTGTGATTACTGTTCATATAATACAGTTTCTCTCCGTTCTCATATAGTATCAGTTAAGCTAGGTTTTCTACTTTTTTTCTCTAATGGCTGACAGATATGTTAACTCCTCCGGACGGACCGTTTCCAATACTCATATATATATATATATATATATATATATATATATATATATATATATATATATATATATTATGTAATTCTAATTTTCTGGCTATTTTGCAATTAACAATTATTGCAATTTTGACATTCGCAATTATGAACTGCCGTATAATTTATTAATTTAAACTCTATGCAAACTGCCGTATGAAATGTAGAATTGTATTTTAATTCCTCTAATCAAATTAAAATTTAGGAATCCTAATTATACGGTATTGCTATTTAAGAGTTAGGAATTAAGAATTTTAATTGTCTTTCAATTCTATTTATTAGATTTTTTTTTTTTTGAAATGCTACTGACTCTATTACATTGTAGTATCTGTTCATACATACTTTTAAGAGTGAGCATAATTACTGAAAAATCGATAGAACCGATAACCGATAACCGACCGATAAATTTGATTATCGGTCGGTTACCGGTTATAAGGCAAAAAAAAAAAAATTGGTTATTCGGTTATGAAGGTGTAATAACCGCGGTCACCGAATAACCGATATTATTATTTATATTATTAATATTATATATATATATATATATATATATATATATATATATATATATATATATATATATATATAATATTACTTGTAATAATTACTTGTAATATTATTTGTGGATGCTCGGTTATTTGGTTGTTCAGTTAACCGGTTTCGGTCGGTTAAAAGTGTATGTTCGGTTGGTAATGCAGATTTAAAAAATAATAACTGACCGATGCTCACCCCTACATACTTTCTCAACCAAATGAAGCACAAAGAGGATCAACACCGTCGATGCTCACCCCTACATACTTTCTCAACCAAATGAAGCACAAAGAGGATTAACACCGTTTCTACTAAGGCTCGATCTCATGACCTCTCATATGGGGGAGTCATTACATGCCATTAGAATTTTAATTGTACCAAAACTCGTTTTACTTTTTGAGATTGTGATTTTAAACTCGTTTCGAAATTGTTTTACTTTTGAAACTCAAGGTCGATAACATTGGAGCATAATAAAATATGTTTAGTTGATAACCAACTAACCCCCCTCTCTCTCTCCATCCACGGTGCTTGATTTGTTCTGAATATTTTTACTCTCCTCTACAAAATATTGAGGAGCATGGAATTTTTAACATTTGTAACTGACCAATTTTTGTACACAAAGTCATGAATTGTGTGATTTTTAAAGTCGTTTCAAAATTGTTTTACTTTAGTGTAAAATAAGGCCTAGTCATAGTATCTGGAAAATTCACATTCTTTGTGTTTTTGTGTGTCAACTAATATCATCAGCAAAACACAAAGAGCTGCAACAACATACATAAATCATGTAAAACTATACATTCTTTGGGTGTCAACTATATCAGCAAAACACAATCTGGAGAAGCAAATCAAAACATCACATGAATGAAATAGCTGCAACAACATAAATCATGTAATACTTGTTATAAAGAGTTTAGGACTTTCCTCTCACTTACATAATACTAAATGTGAATTGACGATTCACAAACTTAAAACACATTGGACAATAAAGACAACTGCCTAAAACTAACATTCATTCATGCCTCATCCCACTCATCATCATTCTTGTAGGAAACCAGAGTGTCAACCTTGTGTATCTGCACCAAATACAATCAAAACCCAATATGTGTGTGAGTATTAGCTAGCTCAACTGCAGATGACTACTACTACTATTAGTAGTATTATTACCTTGGTATCAAAGGAATGCAATTTGACCATTTGTGGATTTGCTATCAGTTTAGGGTCACTTTCGATCCAGGTGAACGGGACTGCAACATCTGTATCAGTGTAGGCTAACACATCGAACACGCCTATTATGCATCACCAAAGTGAAACTACACATAGTCAGAGACACATCATTTTGTTGTTGATATATCTATCAACAAGGCTTGCTTACTTACATGCTTCATCAAGGCATGGGAGATATGTAATGCTGGAAGCTATTTGTCTCATAATCGCTTGAATTTCGCGCATTATTTCTTTATCACTCTTCTCCCTTGAAACACTGCAAATTTCATGGAATGATAAAAATAGAAAAAAAAAAAAAAATATGTTACTCCTCCTCTTCAACTCCTAGTTTCATATTTAATAAGGTCCAACAACAGGAGTGGATTAGTTAAATTAATTACCCTTTCTCAACAACCTCACTGTCTGTCTCAATACTGAAATTCCACCTCTCTAACACCTCACCACTGGCCTTACTCATGATCACAAGCACAACCCTCTGTAGTTTCCCGGCCTCCAGCCACTCTTTGCAAAATTCAACATTAAATCATCAATACAACAACAAATGAAACATCCATCCATCCATCCATCAATTCACAATGGACTATACCAAACTTTATAATCAATCAATCTGTCAGTCAATCAATAGAAACTGAAACCAGTGGTTAACTCCAGCAAAGATGGCAAGAGATCTACACTTGTAACCACAAAGTCACGAGTTCAAATCCTTGCCCCCTTGCTATGGGTAACCTAAGCTAGTTTACTCCCTTGTGGTCCTTTGCCGGATAGGACCAAAAGGGTTGCGGGGTTCCCCCATCATCCAAAAGAAATAGAAACTGAAACCCTAGATTAAATTGGAAATTTTCCAGAAAGTTGGGCTCAATCAATCAGTCACAATCAATAGAAACTGAAACCCTAAATTATATTTGGAAAATACCAGAAATTTGGGCTGTTAAGTTGGAAATGAAGGTTTTGACACCTTCATCTTGAGTGAGCAACATCGGAAGCCCATACTTCTTCACCTTCGCGAAACTCTCTTCAGGATACAAACCGCGGTTGTATAAAATACTAAACAAAGAAATTCCCCCATCAAAATCAAAATCAAAATCAAAATCTCAGCCCAAAAAGAAACAACATAATATTTCAAATTCCAATCTGTGATTTTTTTCCCCTTTGGATTCTTACCTATTTGCAGCATAACCTGCCAAAGTGGGTTCAACAAAACAGAAAAACACAATCAATACTTATGCGAACAGAAAACGAAAGACGAAACCCTAATTGGGGGAAAAGAAGGGAAATACATACCGAAGAATTCACTGACAATAGCGGCTGATCCCCGAAGAGTGATTATATCTTTGGAGGCTGTTCTTGAAGCCATGTTTCTGAATGCTTAGAATGTGAGATTCTAAATTCAACTCAAGAGAAGTAGGGGCTGGTGGTTTCGAATGATCTAAAATTTAGGTTTTGCGTTTTGATGAGTTCCCAGATTGCTCCGATTCTAGGGAGAATATGAATGAAGAAATGAAGGCGAAGTGGCAGAGTAACGGCTAGTTCTTCTTTGGGCCCAGTATAACGGTCACAATCATATTTTAAATTCCAGATGAACGTTGGAAAGTGATTCTAATTTGGGCTTCTGTTTTTAATAGGATTTGTTGATATAAGTTAAAGTGTCTTAGGGCCATACAATTTGGCCCAAACGATAAAAAGTGGCAAATTATATCGTGTACCGCGGTGCATAATCGATTATGCACCGCGCGTCAGACACTACAGTGTGTTTAAACCGACACTGT